TCCCATTTACTATCATTCAAGTGTTGGAAGAATCCTTATATTAGTGATGTCTTGCCACATTCTGTTTCTTTCAGGTGGAGAGATTTCAAAAGAAGCATGTTCTGGTTAGCAGTAATCTATGGCAGTCTAATGTTGTTGCATACATTACTCTTTTCAATTCTATGGTTGAGAAAGAAGAATACTGAAAAAAATAGAAGCTACGGGGCATTGATATTCCCACGCTTTGAGATCTTTCTTCTAATTCTTGCACTGCCTTGTATTTGTGAGGCTTCAGCAGCTTTGCTTAAAGGTAATTCAGGTTCCTTTTTCATTTTTCCTTTTATTTAGGTTCCTTATTGCTTAACTCCACTCCTCCAAATAACAGGATATATTAGGGTACGTGTAGAATAAAAGTTCATTGCATGAAGAAACCCACCTTTGACAGTTTTCCTTTGCACTTCGTTGTTATCTATATTGGAAGAGAAAGAAGATTTTAAGTTCATTGAACAGCATCAAATCTTGAGTCCAGATAACATATCTCCAACCGTTGATTCTTGGTTAATGGACTAACATCAGTAGCAAGGCTGTTAAAATTTTAACCATTGAGCTTAGATGTTTGTTAGATTTGAAATCCATCAATAATCTCCCATAACCTCCCTCTTCCCCCATAAATAATTTAGGAAAAAGAAGAATAATGTTTTGGTATTGATCAACTTATCAGACTCTCTCTCTCTCTCAGTTTGTGGTATGGTTAATACAGAAAAAGGGATATGTCATGGTAGCTCATCTCCTTTGTCAAGCAGTACTTTTTTTAAATGAAACTAGTGTAGTGTGTGGAGTTCCTTATGTGTAGTAGCAATCTTCCACTGAAAACTCCTTAATACTGGTCCAATGCGTTGTTACCCTTAATCGTGCTGTCTGAGGTCAACATAAGGAACATTATGTTATGCAATTCATACTTCTTTAGGAAGTACATTGACTTGCTGAGCAAGAATATAAATAACTTGTGCATAAATCAATTGCTCAATATCCATCTTTAGTAATTCTTACAATTTGGTTTAAGAAGCTCTGCTTTTTTGCTTTATGATTGAAGGAGGAGCATCTTCTGGGATGGTTGTGGGCATTTTGCTATTAGCTGTAGTATTTTTTCTCCTGCTGGCCTTGCTTTTGTTCCTATCTGTGGGAATTACACTTGGAAAGCTACTTCAATACAAGGAGGTGCATCAAGAGGGAGAGGCTATTCACTGGTACCAAGAGATTATCCGAGTAACGCTAGGCCCTGGTAAAAGAGGCCAATGGACTTGGAAGAACGATTCAAAATCTACATGTCTAACAATGTTAGGACCTCTGTTTGAGGATCTACGAGGTCCCCCTAAGTACATGCTATCTCAGATTACAGGTGGAAATGTCCAAAAGCAACGCGACAGAATTATTGCCTCAGATGATGAGACAGAAGATGCAGAAGCACCTTTTATACAGAAAGTATTTGGAATTCTACGTATATACTACACATTGCTTGAAGTGGCCAAACGTGTTGTTCTGGGGATTGTTGCTGGTGCATATTCAGAAAACTGGGCTTCAAGAACTCCCACGATTACCTTACTTTGCATAACCTCTTTTCAACTCTTTTTCATGGTGCTTAAGAAACCTTTCATCAAGAAAAAGGTCCAGTTGGTTGAGATCATCTCAGTTTCCTGTGAATTTGGCATTTTTGCTACCTGTTTGGTGCTCTTATATAAAGGATTTTCGGCCAAGGATGAGACAAAAATTGGGATCTTCATGCTCTCACTCTTCTTGTTGGCATTCTTAGCCCAACTGATCAATCAAAGTTACGCATTATATAGGCAGGCAAAGAAACTTGACCCTGCTGGGAACTTCTTGACTGGCTTGAAAATCGCTTTGATTGGTTTTCTTCTGCTCTTCATTCCTCAACGATGGATAAAAAACCTGGAAAGTAAGTTCCCTTTGTATAATACTGCTGAAGGTGAAGGGACTACTACTTCTTCAGGTGACAGGAGATCCAGTAGCAGAAGTTCCGATGAAAGACCGTGGCTGAGGCAACTAAGAGAACTAGCTAGGTCCAGCTTTAGCAAAGAAAGGGCTGCAACTCCAACTGATCCTTCTACAAGTCAAGGCACATGGAGTGGATTTTGGAATCTTAAGAGGAGTGGAAGCCCTTCAATGACTTCATCATCAGATTTTAAGGCAAAATCAAGACTGTCAAAAGATTTAGAATCCATCTTTTCATCTAAATGACCACACTAACACAAATCTTGTCATTAGCTTTCTTGACCATTCCTGATCTCTCGAATGCTGAGGATTAGCCTGCCTTCTGAATTTTTTAGAATTTCCAGTGTTACTTAATTTGGAATTTCTTGATGGTTTCAGAGCTTATATATCTAGAAGAATATATAAATCTTCTGGCAGTGAGATTAATAATGTAGAGGCCTAAGTTGTACATCGCCAAACAGTGGCTGAATGCAGAAGCTGTGTGGAGGTTCATTGACATTGAGTTAAAGGACATGAAGGATTATGCATTACTTGCTTAGTGTAATGAGATAATAGTGGTCCTGCATACAGATATACAATGTAAACCATCCATTTGTACTCAATTCAAGAAAACAAAGCACTGGCTCTTCCATTTGCAGAAAATTTTACATCAGATAAAACATTTTGTAATACTAATCTGATTTATCCCATCCTCATTTCCTTGAAACCAAAAGAATTTTGTAAACCATTTTGTTCAAAATAAAGTGGTAGACAATCAGTAGGAGCAAATTGTTCAAAAAAAAAGTTAGGGGTACAATACATCACAAGGAAAGAGTTTAAGGCTTATAAGATGCAATTTACAAGATTTCATAAAATGAAATAAAGTTACGAGATTATGGAATTGATTCAATGCATTACAGAACATCCCAAACAAAGATGCTTTACTGGTAGTGCTACCGCCCATTGAATAATCAGAGATTCTCAGGAAAAACTGCACCACCTTCCAGAAGCAAAGACAGCTGAAAACTGGGGACAAATCTGACTGAACCGAATCATTAAACAAAACACAGCCAACTGCGCCTGATTACCTTCTTCAAGTACACTAACCAAAACCCAAATTCCAACGCCCCAGCCTCATATATCTGTCCCCATCTCAACACCCCACGTACTAACGCTGAATTCCAGTTACATAACACCTGATAAGCAAATCCTGTTATAGCAAGAAATATATAAGGGGATTCTTGTGCCCATATGGGATCTTTATTCAGTTCAAACAAGAGCAAGGAAGAAATAGAAATGGCTCTTTCCAAAGTTAAACAAATTGTTTCCTCACATCCTGTTGTTGTCTTCAGGTTTCTGCCCCCTATTACAACTTTTGTGTGTGCCTGTGTTTCCTAACCCCAATAAAGGAAATGATTAATCTTTTCTTGATCTGGGCTATATTTGATTTTTTGGCTAACTAATCTTATCTTGTTTATTTTTGTTAATAGGTATTGGCTTAGATATTGGATATAGATCCTTATTAGTAGTGTTTTTGTGCAGTAAAACATTCTGCGGCTATTGCAACAGGGTGAAGCAGTTGCTTGACCAGCTAGGTGCAACTCATACAGTTGTTGAACTTGATGAGGAAAGTAAGTGCTGTATTCTAGTAACAATTTATTGTTGATCAATGATTGGAAATTCGCAATTTCATGTCTTGATTTACAGCTTCATTTGATGTCGAAATTGATGTGCTGTTGTTTGTTTGTCAATTTTGAAGCTGATGGAACTGAAATGCAGTCAGCTCTAGCCGTGTGGACCGGCCAAAGGACAGTGCCCAATGTGTTCATTGCTGGCAAACACATTGGTGGTTGTGACAGTAAGTCCATTTGCTCTTTTTTCTTTCTTTCTTTTTCATGAAATTTTTGATATAGATCCAATTTACATTGATACTTCTCATAAATAAAAGTCTATCCATTTGTGGACGATGGTGATGGTCCACAAGAGAGGTTATTTTCTTTTGGTGGTTATGAACCATAATTTTTAAATGTCTCGAGATAGTTATATCTCAATTAGGTGATTAAAGGTTGTTGAGCAATTTTTAGTGCCTCAAGATATAATTTTCTCTAGAGCTTGGTCAATCACATTCTTCCTTGTCAATGGTTGATGTAGACCATGGTAGTCCAATGATTACTAGTTTTGTCAACTTTTAGTATCTCAAGATATTGTAACTTAAAAGGATTGGTTATTCACATTCTCCCTTCCCTAGGGTCCAAGTTCTTATTAGTAAAAGAGAAGGAAGGATAAAATATGAAAGAGTACTTAACAAATGATATATTTATATATTTGGATTTTAGGGGAGTCTTACAACTTTTTTTGGTTGTGTGATTGCAGCTGTGACAGGAAAGCATGAGTTGGGTGAACTTGTTCCACTGCTCAATGAGGCTGGTGCTATCCCAAAGAACTCTGCTCAGCTTCAGATTTAAAAGAAATATGAAGGGGAGATGAGGCTTATACATGAGAAATTAGTTCTCTGTCTCTGAATTCTGATGTAAAATAAGGCCAAGATGTACGTGGGGAATAAGTTTGATTACTACAGATTTTCTAGTCTGTAAGTTTGATACTATCAAGTACTCTTTGGCTATGTAAGCAATGTTTGGTCCAGTTATTTGACTAGCACTGATGTTTATATAATTGGGTTGTTAAAATCGCGATCCGGATCGTAAGATCGTACAATCGCGATCCGGATCGTACGATCCTACGATCCGGAAAGTCAAAATCGATCCGGATCGCACTCAGAATCGCAAATTCCTTGAATCTACATAGGATCGAGATAGGATCGGTAAGATCGTGTAGAATCGTGATCCTACGATCCTACTTCGATCCCACAAATTTTTGCTAATTTGTGAAATACAAGACTCATTTTGCAAGTAAATGAAAACATTTGGAGTAGGCTTGTAATTTATCAGAGAATTGCAGGCCCTAGTTGCAATGTTTTAACAAATTTTGCCTCAAAGTCAAAAAGTTCCGTCAAAAAGCTTCAGGTCTTCTTCATCTTCTCCTCAAGCAGACCTTTGTCGTTTCTCTTCTCCTCTCCGCTACCCAAATCAAATCCCTAATTTAAGCCATCAAACCACCTCAAGCTTCGGCTACAGCTCTTACCAAGAGTCCACAAGACAAATCGCTGCGGCTTCTACCAAGAACCCACAAGCTACAGCCGACAGCTTCAAGGCTTCAAGCTGCAGCAGCCATTGCTTCGGTAAGAATATCAAGCTACGAAATCCTCTGTTGCCGTCGGATTTTGGCCTTTTCAAGCTTCAAAGCTTGAAGCTCCAGCACCCGTTCTTCTCCAATTTTCGTGCTACCAGCCTGCCACCACACTGAAGCTCAAGCACCAGTACTTCAATTAAAATCACATGTGAGTCTAGTTATTTTCTTGCTTGAAAATTGATACATGGGGAGATGGTGATTGATAAAGTTGTGATTTGTATTTGGTTTTCTTGGTATTTGAACATATATTGCCTTTGATTGAATTGAGTTGAAGGGAATTATTAACGGGTCCATTACGATTTGTGAAAATTTGGTTTTCTTGCTTGAAAATTATTGACGGTTCTGAAGTACCAGCACTTTGTCTTAGGATTTGTGCCCTCAGAATCATTAACGGGTCCATTAGGTACACTCTTTTTTGCCTTCTCCATAGGAAGCTCTGATAATCGAGACTCTGCTACCATATAAATCTTCCCATTGAACTTGTTGAAGAAATCAGAATTAGGAGTATTATTATTTTATAGTAATGAATTAATGATTAGAGACTAAATCAAAATTCAGAAAACATTACTAGATAAAGAAGCGTACTTACCAAAAAACTTAAACACAAGGGATCGGGTAATTGCAATTCTCCTTATAAGAGAATAGAACAACCTACAATCTCTCTTATCATAACTTTTTGTTGAATGTAATGAATGATCCTTAACTTAGTGTCTGTTTGATAACATAAAAAAGTCTGAAACTGAATTCATTCAGACATTTAGATGTTTTGGGTGTTTGATAAATAAAAATTTTTCTGCTGAACTTATTAAGTGGTGCTGAATTTGTATGTATTTTTTTCAGCACAAGAATCGTAACTGAATGCTTAATTTGATAAGAATCAAGAGATTTACTTTAACTATTTTATCTTATCTACCAAATCTATCATTGTTTGTTAATTGCATTCAAAATCCTTATTGAATTAAACAACCTAATATTCTCTATCCAAAATCCTTATCTAATTAAATAACCTGACATTCTCTGTCTAATGGCTTTCTACTTCTATTTTCTCCCTATTTAATGATTTTTTTACAATTTCTCCATGCTCTTTACATTTGTCTACTCCTTATATTTTTCCATCTTTCTACTCTTTCATAATTTTGTCATTTTTTTCCTCCCAAATTTTTTTATTGCTACCGTACTCACCGATCTCAAATTCATTTTTTCCAAGATAAGTGACATTGATTATTTGTTGTTTTGCTTCAACATAATTCCATTGAAGTAATTAAATTTCTATATAATTTGGTGTGAATTTAAAACTTGTTTATTGCAGCTTTCTTTTGCTTATATTTGGACTTTTCTTATCAAACTCTGATTTAAAAATATATTTGCACTGATATTTGGACTTTTCCATAATATATTTCTTATTTTATATTACTTTGATTTAAAAATAAATATTGTCATTTTCATACCTAACAATTTTAAACTAATTAAATCATAGGTTCTATTTTCTTTTTGGATTGAAAAATAGAAGGGCAAAATTGAACAATTTAGTTTATTAAGCATTAAGTTATAAATATTTATCAAATAGTATAAATATGTTCAGCATTAAAATTCAGATATTCATATGTCTCTTTTCAGTGCTTAATATTCAGCAAATTAATTGTTTCAGTATTCAGGATTCAGGATTCAGAATTCAGATTCAGTTTTATTAAACGAAACCTTAACTAGCTAAATGCAAATATTTTTGTCTTAGACTTGAAGAAAATTTGGATGTTTCTTTGCTAAGCCGTTTGCTAATGATGCGACCTTGCACACTCAAACCCAACCTTTTGTTTAGATGTCAAGAGAAAAAGTCTCTTTTACTGGAAAACTAACCTGGAAAAATATTTAAAATATCAGTCCATATAATATTAACAAAAATTTCGGCAAATTAATGATACAAATCAGAGGTAAACTAACCTAGAATGAACAGAAATTTCACTGCAAAACCTTTTCTATTTTCGGACCAAAGCTGAAAATTAGAAAAAAAATAATTACTGATCAGTATATATGTCCGTGGTGCAAAAAAATAAAGAAAAAAAGAATGGCAAGAAATGTATTTACCAAGATGAAAAGGAACAAAAGAGTACCAAACCGCTCTTTTACCTTCTTTAATCGATCCGGATGGCCTGTACAAAAGAGCTTCCCTTCTTTTTTTTTTTTTTCTTTTGTCATTATTACCTTTGTTTTTGTTCTTCAAAATCAATATAGATAAACAAACAAATTTAATTCCTAACTGAAGTTACATTGCACAATTTTCATTTATTTTAAAGAAATTGAATCTAAGAGAATTAAAAAAACAATTTTTTTGAATTTTTATGAGAATTTTCCTTTTCAGAAATTTATTGCAAAAGTATTTTAAAAATAAAAATAAAAATAATGAACCTAATTTATAAAAATAAATAAAAATAACACTAACTATCATTTAATAAAAATGAAATAAAGTAAAAATAAAAAAATAAAGCTAATATTAAATTAAATAAATGAAATTTTTTGTGTCTACAGCTTGCCCTTCTTTGTCTGAATTTCGAAAAAACTCGAGACAAAGACGCAGAAACCAAATACTTACCTGTAGTTATTCTGCCGTGAGTTGAAACATGTAAACATAAAAATGGTCAGTGGAATAAACCCGATCTTGCCATAACATCAGTCAGTAGGATAAAATCTGATCCTGCCGTAACATCGGTCAATGGGATAAAATTCGATCCTACAGTAAAATTGATCAGTGGGATAAAACCTGATCCTACCTTAACATCAGTCAGTGGGATAAAACTCGATCCTGCCGTTATTACATAATGCTTTTTGTAGAATTTCAAAAATTCTGATGGAGGAAGTTAACTTTCTTCAAAAAATTTGCCCCAGTGTGATGTTTTTTGATATTCGAACCTGCAAAAAAATAGAAATAATCATAATGACAAATAATGTTACCACCATCCAATCAACCCCCTTCTTCAAGAAATATGTAAACATGAGTATTTGAACGTTCTTCCCCGATATAGCGAAAAGTCAACTTTACTCTGTGAACTGTATCAAGTTTTGTTAACTTCCAACGTTAATGAAGTATGACATTTGGTATCCAGGGACTTTCAATAAATCAGAGGAATTGTCATTTGATAAATTCAAAGAGATGAATGAGACATGAAACACATAAAAAAATATTTTACTTACACAAATGATGAAAATTCTAGTAACATGAAAAACAGCTGTTTACCTTTATTGAAAGAAAATTTACTTTAAAGGAATGAACCTGTACACTCAAGAGTTTATGTTTGATAAATCAAAATACTTTGATGCTCGAACAAAATGCCACATTTGGCAACATAATCACAATGTAAAGAGAAATTTCAAGGAATTGAGTCACCAGTCTTTCAAATCCAAACTCACTTTTTAACATAAAACCCTACTTTAGTGCTCTTTTGGGTTTTCACTAAGGCTACGCCTATCTTTTTATTTTCTTCTTCTTTCTATTTTTCATTTTTATTTTTCTTTTCTTTTTTTTCTTTTTCCTTCTTCTTCTTCATCTTTTCTTTTTCTTCTTCTTCTTTTTTTCTTTTTTTTTTCTTTTTTCAAAGGTGCATTTTCGGGTTTTCACCTAATAAACAAATTCTGTCGATATTCTTTATTAACTCAGAAATGTATTTTAAGAAATGATGGCATCAATACGATAATCCTTCCCTTGTAAAATCGGTGAAAGTGTATTGACATCATTTACCATTTGATCAGAAAATTTTCTAAAAGAGGTGATACATAGAACAGAAGTCAAGACTTTCAATTTTTTAATGGGGTTTGGTGGGGTGCTAAGAAAGGTTAAGACTTGAAAACAAATTTTATAAATGTTTAAATCATCTGAGATCACATCTTCATATTGACCCTTCTTAGGATTAAACTAAAATTGCCCTAGTTTCGTCTCAATCAAGGTTCTTTTCTTTAATTTTCTTTTCCACTTTTGTTTCTCTATCATATTTACCTTTTGAGGTTTTTCTTTCTCTCTCTCTTTTTTTCACTCAAAATTGCCTCAGTGTAGGGTTTGCGATCCTCAGGGGTTGCCAAATGAAATAATTTATTCTGGAGGTTCAAAAAGGATAACTAGAAATAGAATGTTTAATTGGAAAGGAAGAATGCCTGACTTTCATTCCATTCTTCATATTAACCTTAAAAGAAAAGTTTCATTTGTCAAATGAAAAATTTCCTACACATATCCGAATCGATTGGTTGGGGAAAAACTTGTCCATCCATTTCTGTTAGAACAAGTGCTCCATCAGGCAACACTTTCTTAACGATAAAAGGGCCCTGCCAATTTGGTGCAAACTTGCCTTTGACCTCCTCTTGTACTGATAAAATCTGTTTCAACACTTTGTCTCCTTCTTCGAACAGTCGCACTTTGACTTTCTTGTTGTAAGCACGGGTCATTCCCTTTTAATAGCATTGATCATGACAAATGGCATTTAACCTTTTCTCATCAATCAATGACAACTGCTCATGACGTTGTTTAATCCAATCAGCTTCATCCACTTTGGCCTCCATTAGTATGCGAAACGAAGGAATTTCGACCTCGGCTAGCAAAACTGCTTCTATTCCGTACATGAGGTTGTAAGGCGTTGCCCCGGTAGAAGTCCGAATAGCCGTTCTATATGCCATTAATCTATAGGGGAGCTTTTCGTGCCAATCACGATGTCTTTCATTCATTTTACGGATTATCTTCTTCAAGTTCTTATTCGCGTCCTCCACAGCTTTATTTATCTATGGTCTATAAATAGTAGAATTCCGATGCTTGATTTTGAACTGCTCGCACAATCCATCTACCATGTCATTGTTGAGATTCTTGGCATTGTCAGTGATTAATGTCTCTGGCACACCAAATCGACAAATGATGTGTTTTTTTAGAAAATCGGTCACCACATTCTTAGTCACATGCTTGTAAGACTCAGTTTCGACCCACTTTGTAAAGTATTCAATTGCCACTAGAATAAATTGATGCCCGTTTGAAGCAGGAGGGTCAATAGTTCCAATTACATCTATACCCCACGTTGAACATGGCCAGGGAGCAGTCATACTGTGTAATTCTGTAGAAAGAGTGCGCATAACATCCCAATGCAATTGACATTTAATGCATTTTCTGACAAAAACTATACAATCATGCTCCATAGTAAGCCAAAAATATCCGATCCTCATGATCTTCTTCCCTAATAAATGGCCAGTCATATGTGATCCATATATACTACTGTGCACTTCTTTTATTAAATAATCTGTTTCATCTTCATCAACACATCTCAGAAGGCCCAAGTCCGGCGTCATTTTGTATACCACCTCTCCATTTAAGAAAAACTTGGATGATAATCTGCGCAAGAATCTTTTAGCAGTCGTATTAGCATCGGGAGGATAGGATCCGATTTTGAGAAATTTCTTGATATCGCTGTACCAGAGATGGCTATCAGAAGATCTTTCCAAAACTAGACAATGTGCAAGCTTTTCTTGTAACTGAATCTAAATAGTTCAATCATCAACTCGTTTGGATGTTGAATCATTGAAGATAAAGTAGCCAAAGCATCAACAAAAATATTTCTGGCACGTGGAATATGCCTGAACTCCAAACTTCTGAATTTGTTTGCCAAATCTAGTAAACTACAATGATAGGGCAAAATCTTTGAATCCCGAATAATCCATTCTTTGAGCGTTTGATGCATGAGCAAATCAGAATCACTGAACACTATTAAATCCTTGATTTCCATCTCCAACGCCATTTTTAGTCCAAAAATGCAAGTCTCATATTCAGCCATATTATTAGTGCAGAAAAATCACAGTTTAGCGGAATCGAGGTAATGCTTTCCTTCGGGCGATACTAGAACAGCTCCGATACCAGCTCCAAAAGAATTTGAAGCACCATCAAAGAACGATCTCCACTCAGAGCATCATTCATTCATATCCTCTGCTACACCAACAAACAATACCTCCTCATCTGAAAAATAAGTGTGAAGCGGTTGATAATTATCTTCCCTTGGATTTTCAGCCAAGTGATCTGCTATACCTTGGCTTTTGATCGCCTTTTGCGTGGTAAAAATGATGTCGCATTTAGAAAGGATCATTTGTCATTTAACCATGCATTCGGTCGGCATGGTTTCTCTAATAAGTACTTCAAAGGATCTGAACGAGAGATAAGGTAGGTGGTGTGACTAAACAAGTAATGTCTCAATTTTTGAGCTGCCCAAGTCAATGCGCAGCAACTCTTTTCAAGAAATGAGTATTTTGCCTTGTAAGATGTGAACTTCTTACTAAGATAATAAATGGCTTTCTCCCTTTTTTCAGAATCATCATGCTGCTCCAAAACACATCTCACAACTTTGTCGGGCACAAACAGATACATAATCAAAGGTCGACCTGGATTGGATGGCACTAAGACTGGGAGATGCAACAAGTAATCCTTAATTTTATCAAACGCCTATTGGCATTCTTCATTCCAATGCAATGGCACATTCTTTTTCAATAATTTAAACAAAGGCTCACATGTAGAAGTCAACTGGGTGATGAACCTTCCAGTAAAGTTAATCTTTTCTAAGAAACTCTTCACATCCTTTTACATTTTTGGCACTGGCATTTCACGAATGGCTTTAATTTCCGTTGGATCTATCTCTATACCTTTCTTATTGACGATGAATTCCAATAATTTGCCAGCAGGGGCCCCAAATGCACACTTCGCAAGATTTAATTTCAAATTATATCTCCTTAATCTTTCAAACAACTTTTTGAAATCAACCAAATGATCCTCCGCTTTCTTGTATTTGATGATGATGTCATCAGCATAAACTTTTATCTCCTTATGAATCATATCGTGGAACAGGGTGGTCATGGTCCTTTGATAAGTGGCTCCAACATTTTTCAATCCAAATGGCATTACTTTGTAGCAAAACGTTTCCCACTGAGTGATAAAAGCAGTTTTCTTCCTATCCTTTTCTGCCATTAAAATTTGATGGTATCCGGCAAAATAGTCAGCGAATGATTCGATTTCATGCCCTGCGGTATTATCCAGAAAAATATGAATGTTTGGCAACGCAAAATCATCTTTCAGACTGGCTTTATTGAGATCTCTATAATCGACACAAACTCCCACTTCTCCACTTTTCTTTGGAACAGGTACGGGATTTGAAAGTCAAATGGGATAACAAGACACCATGATGATTCTGGCATTGAGCTGCTTTTCGATTTGTTCTTTGATTTTGAGACTCATATCTGGCTTAAATTTGCGCGATTTTTGCTTCGCTGGCAAAAAATTCGGATCAGTCGGTAATTGATGGACCGCTATGTCTGTTGAAATTTCAAGTATATCATTATAGGATCAAATAAACACATCTTGGAACATGGTTAAAAACTCAATCATCTCTTTTCTCTATTTTTTATTCAACTGAATGCTAATTTTTATTTCCTTAACCTCAGTATCAGTGCCAATATTAATGGTTTCTGTTTCTTCTAAGTTCAATTTGAATTTTTCTTCATATTGTTCAAGATTCTTTAACAAAGATTCAGATTCTTCCTCGTTATCGCTCTCGTCTTGAATTTCTGATTCCAAAATTTCAAATTCATGAGAGATATTGAGATTGCAATCATCGAATTTTAAAATAGTGATATCCAAAGGATCAATGTGTTTCATTTTTTTGCCATCTGAAAAAGAATGAGATAGATACAATAATGCGTAAGTAAATCAATTTGAAAAATGAACACTGTGCATTCCATTAAAATTTAAAATAAAGGATAAAACATCATAATATGCTATTTAACAAAAGATACGCTATTTAACATAAGACTTGTATTGAAAGACATTTGATTAAAAACTATTTACAAAACTGAAAGACAAAAGATAAATAATGTGAATGATTTCTCTCATATCTATCAATCAAAGGCAATTCCCTAGATTTACCGAATTTTTTTCGGGAGGGAAGGAAATCACTGGTCCAATTCTTCATTGCTTCTACGAGAACCTCTGAAAATTCTGGATCCTCTGACGGCTCATCCTCGTAAGCAACCCCTACAAATACCTCAGACAAACCAATATCCACCTCCTCGATCGGGTCCACTTTAGATCTAATCACTTCTTATGGATAGGAAAAAGTGCAGTACAACGATAAGATATTCCTGATAATTTGCTTTCCTTCCTTCTCCGCTCTCTTGCGATCTAACATTTCTTTCTTATCTCTAGTAGTAGGTCGAAACCCTAATCTAAAGGTGTCTTTCTTTTCTTGAAACTCTATTGGTTCTAGGACTTCTTACAGATTACACTCGAGACGCTTACCTATCTCGTATCCTCCTCGAATCATCCCTTTAGCCATCATAACGCTGGGTTCAGGTAAATTCATTTCCATCCCTGATTTCTCCTTAGATACCCAGCCTACTGAAACGATATCAACCACATGGTGAGGAAAACTGGAGATTTTCTATCACCTTCCTCATTTGACCCAGAATTGACAATCATAGTACAATCATCCTCTGCAAACACCGTGATTAATTGGCCATTCACCACAAACCTCAACATCTAATGGAGCGAAGATGGTATAGCGCCCGAAGTGTGAATCCAAGGCCGTCCAAGTAGAATATTATAAATACTTGAGAAATTCATAACTTGGCATATGACTTGGAATTGGACAGGTCCTATTTCCAGCACTAAATTCACTTCTCCCATTGATTCTCTTTTTGCGCCATCAAATCCTCTCACCACGGTGGCAGACGGCCGAAGTTTAGCATCTTGAAATCCCAACCTAACCAAAATATTCCATGGACAGATATTTAAAGCAGATCTGTTGTCTATCAGAACTCTCGGTAATAACTTCTCATAATAACGGATTGAGATATACAGTATTTTGTTGTGTTCAATCCCTTCAACAGTTAGATTTTCGTTAGAAAAAGAATTTAAGAAGTTAAAAACTTCTGATGTTTGATACTGACAAGGGAATATCATCCTTCAAACAGCATCTCAAAAAGAATTTAAAGTCTCCATTGTTTAATTCTTGATTATTAGTATCTTATAAGATTATTAAACTATGTTTCGATTATCTTATAGTATTGCCAAATTGTGCCACATTGTTGAAATAAATAGCATTTTTCTAGTACCCTTAAATTTATATCCATCTTAGCACTTAATTACCTTGTACAAGTGCGCTAGATCATTTAAGAGTATTGAAGTTTTTGCTTCAGTACGGGGGGAATGGTTTGTTAACGATCATTTTTCCGAGAATTGATTATGCAAATTGTTTAAGTGGGTTGAAGTTACACCTATTTTTTTATTGTATGAGGAGATTTCCCGTTGACAAGACAAGCTCTTCTGTTAATCTGGTGCTAAAGATCAGTCAACTTTAACTTGCAAGTTTATCGATCTATATAGAAAGAGGGGGAAAAACGTAATGTACAATTTCCTAATATAACTTTTTGATTAATTAAGAAAAGCAAATAGACTAAAGTTACCGTATTTCTGCACAAAAGGAGATGAAAGAACAAAATGTACATGCTTATATTAACAATATAACAAGTCAGGAAGCGACTCAAACTTTCCGCCGTTTGCATCTGGAACAGTTTCATTTGAATAAACTCCATCATGCATGTCAGAATTCTCTACTACTATATACTTCTGTCAGCTGAACCAGGGAAAATATTCATCCTGGTGTTTTGGACCAAAAGGAGGCTTACCCACTTCCCCTGCTAGACTTTTCTTCAGAGTTTGGTCACATTTCAAACTTGAGTGCTGATTTTGAGGTCAGAAGCAATCTCTCCAGCTTCAACAGCCGATGCAGACTCTTTCTTGTCCGACCCAAAAAAGGAGCAACTCTGGAATGCATCCAGACTGCTAGCTATGAGGCGGTTCAAGCCACCAAGACTATCACTTAAAATCAGATCATCACTACGATATCTACAGGAAGATATGTCCAAATCTAGTGCGCCTAAAGAATCAGGCTGCAAAATTGAAAAGATGGAATGAGGTCATAGGTGCCAAAATCCTACATCAGAAAAATATCTGTAATATTACATAATTTTAGCAAATTTTCTCGTGTTCTTTCGAAATAAAATAACTAAGTAAGTGTACTAGTTTGATATGAAAAAAGCAAAAAAGACAACCATCTTTCCACTGGATTTGTACGAGGCATTTGATTGAAACCAGTAGAAACACGAACTAGGAAAGCAAAGGGTCAAGAATGTACCCAGTAAATGTCAGTAAGCCCATTGAGATCCCTCTGAGAGTCATCAAAAGAATGTTGATCGGCATGACACTTATCCACAATGTCTCCATGCATGGGATCATCAGGTAAGGGTTCCTCAGGATCAGACTGCTAGGCCAACCAAAAATGGATATGTTATATCTGAACTCAAATTGCAAGAATTTGATACTAAGCAGGAAATAGATATGGCAAGAATATCTGTATGCAATTACCTCCTGTGCTTTACCAGATGCAGCCGAACTTGTACTGGCAATCTCTCTGGATGTCTCTGGAGGAGAAATTCTTGATGCATTTTGAAATTCTTCAGAGAAAACACTATTCTTCTGAAACACAAAAGCATCACATGTTTCTTCACCATCCCATATAGAGGATGTATTAGTGTGAAGAGGTGGCTGCAAAGCAGATCGGCTTTGATGTTTATATATATGAGCCGCAATTGCAGCATCAAAGGAGTCACAGCTAAATGGAATCTGCTGAAGGCAGTGAGAGTTCCTTAATTCAGTTGAATCAATGCAATTTACTTCTCCATTGTGAGATGCCTCAGTGAGCAGATCCCCAATGCTTATGTTAGTTAGGCTATCAGCCCACTCCCCAGCTGACAAAGCAACAGTCTTGTGTGGCCTCAAGTCATCCTAAAAAAGCACAAATAGGAAATTAGATAGAATTGCAACAAAGGGACCAGCCATTCCTCGGACTTTGAGATGCGCAAAAAGTTATACATGGTATGAAGCTAAGAAAATCACCCATTTATTTCCAACAAAATATTACAGGCATATCATATTTTTATAGCAGACTATCTATTTCACGACTTCAATATTTTCTGATAGTTTGAGGCAGAAATAGGCAGTATTGCTACCACAAGTCCACAATGATAGACAACAGCTTTATGCCACTTTCAGCAAACCACAAAACTATATTACCAAGTGTTACTTAATCTACACCTAGCACTTTATAGCGCCCCGCCCCGCCCCCCCCCCCCCAAAAAAAATCACGGGTTGTCCAGAAACAGTTGGAACAGCAATCACAACTAGGAAAAATATCGATCTATTACAGGCATACATAATTGTAATTTCAGGTAGTGCAAATTTCACTTGAGAACTAGATTAATATAGAACAATTGCGAGGCCAAGTTGACTGCGGGTTGTCCAGAAACAGTTGGAACAGCAATCACAACTAGGAAAAATATCGATCTATTACAGGCATACATAATTGTAATTTCAGGTAGTGCAAATTTCACTTGAGAACTAGATTAATATAGAACAATTGCGAGGCCAAGTTGACTGAAGCTTCAAGAGAGAGAGTTAAACAACAGAAACCTCCAGTGCGCTGAACATATTAGTTTAAGATGTTCTAAAAAAACTAGGAGCTAAAATGACGAATACTTTACCAGATTTTCCTCTTGTACCACGACTGTGTCAGTTGTACTCTCTCTTCTGTTCAATACATGTGCTGCAGTATGATTAGAGGATTTGACTGTATTCACATCTGGACCTATGCCAGCACAACCAATGGTATGATTGGGCAATCTTGAAGGAGTCAAGGTGGTCATTTTTGCAGCAGACAGCAAGCCTTCATGGATACCTAAAAGGTTCTCTGCTTCCTGATAAGTAGGTGGACTCGATTTTGGTGTTGTATCCACAATCTGCTCATTCACAATAGATGTCTCCGTATGGTGCTGAGTAGGGCATGATAATGATGCAAGAGATGTTGCAGATCCAGGATCAGCATGAGGAAACCAACCATATCTAAAGGGAAAGAAAAAATGATCATCATTGAAATCGCTCTCCAGAATTTGTTCTCACAAGAAGAAAATTGGTTTTTTTTTTTGGGGGGTGGGGGGAAATGCACAAGCACCCCTTGTAGTTTAGTAAGTATAGACAAAACCTCCCACAGTTTGGAAACCCACACTTTAGCTCCTTATGGTTCCAACTAAAGTGAAATGGTAATTTTTTTTTTTTTTTGTCACATTTAATGGTCTAATGCCAATAGTCAGCATTTTTATATGGAATAATGATGAAATTATCAGATTGCCCTTTAAATTGAGGTAAAATTGAAATTACAAAAGAAAACTTGGGGTCAAAATTAAAATTCTGTTCTCTCCTATCTCCTTCAGTACATTCCTTTCTCACTCGTCGCTCCTTCCTCCCCTTTCC